ATCCAATGCGTTGTGATTGGCCGAATACCTCAAGCGTGTGACGGAAATGTTACGCCCCTCACATACTGTTGATTTTTCAGTGGGGGCAGGGTCTTACTGACTGTGAATGACAGATGATTTGCAGAATCAACAGTGCAAAACATAGTGTTTGAGATCTTTGTTATTATGAGAAGTGTACAAAAATTTTCGGTTCAAACTGTGGCGGGCCACAGTCTAGTTAACGAATGGGAAACACTGTGTCAGTTTGACAGCTTAGGCAGAGTATCCTTAACCACTTCCCTTCTAATTGTTCGTTTGCTGCAAGCGAGAGATGGAAAGGAGGAGCGCTAAAATAAAACCCTGTCCTCTTTTCAATGTTTTGTTTCAGTTGGAAATACTTTCCTTTTGTGCATTCATTGTTGATTCTTTGACTAATAGTATTCTGACTTTATTTAGTTTGTTGATATGCATTGTTCAGTTGTCCAATCTAGGGCTGGAACTATTGATTATTTTAGTATTTGAGTATTCTATCGATTGGTCCATCGAGTAATCAGATAAGAAGTAATTTTTCTTTATTAAAGAACAATACTAAATATACAAGAGAAAATACGACAGGTCTCTTAAAATAAACAACTAATTTGTTTCCTTTTCAGAAAAATGAATTTTTATTGCTAAAATTGCATACATTAATAACCGTGAAAACTAAACCCATTTAATATATAAATAAATAAATAAAAATACAAAAATCAATTTCACATTACTTTAAAAAAGGTAAACATTACAACCTAAAACTAAGGCATAAATCAAAAAATAAAAAAAACAATTTCACATTAAAAAAAAAAAAAAAAAGTGAAAGTGACGTGAGGCCAAGTATGGTTACCCATACTAGGAATTAGTGCTCTGCGTTTAACCCATCCTAAGTGCACACACACAGCAGTGAACACACACACACCGTGAACACACACCCGGAGCAGTGGGCAGCCATTTATGCTGTTGGGGGTTCGGTGCCTTGCTCAAGGGCACCTCAGTCGTGGTATTGAAGGTGGAAGAGAGCACTGTACATTCACTCCCCCCACCTACAATTCCTGCCGGACTTGAGACTCGAACTCACAACCTTTGGGTTACGAGTCCGACTCTCTAACCATTAGGCCACGACTTCCCCATTAAAATTACTTTACTTTAAAAAAGGTAAACATTACAACCTAAAACTAAGGCATAAATCAAGAAATATAAAAAACAATTTCACATTACTTTAAAAAAGGTAAACAGTACAAACTAAAACTAAGGCATAAATCAAAATAATAGTAATAAAAAAATAATATAATAATACCTAAACATTGCATTTATTTCGTGCAAATTAACTAACAAGTTTCAGCCTAACTAAAGCTCAAGCATGACATAAGCCTTTACTGTCTTCTTGGGAGGCTTTGTGAAGCTGCATCTGAAGAGGCATTTAGATACGCCTATTTTACACTACTTAATTCAGCTCAGAGGGATATGAATGCATTTAACCTGCAGTTACAAATGCATAAATAATATTTTGTTATTTTAAACATAAAACATTGAATACTGATATTTACAATTATTTTAAAAATGAAAAGATACTTTAAATGTGAAATTAAAACCACCAGTAGGTGGCAGCAAGTCACTCCGAAACCACTCCCTATCCACTATATAGTGCACTATATCGGGTGTCAGCCATTTTGTAGTGCTGTCCGAATTCTGAGTGAACTACTTCATTCCCTACATTCATTCACTACTTTTTACCCACAATGCATTCTGATTTCGAGTGTACAACCGATGTACACTCGCTGAAGCACTATTTCCCACAATCCAATGTGGAGTAGCGACGAGCTGGAAGAGGGAGCGGGAGCGAGCGAATTTGAATGAGAGCGTTTACATCTTTCTTATTTCTGCTTTAACGTTTATTTCATACATTATTTATATTAAAATATATTATGTAGGCAATAATTCATTTTAATATTTTACTAATTTACTGAGGTGGCATCCTTGTTAACTTACAAAAATGATGATAATTTAGTGGATAATTTAATCACCTGTAGGTAGCATATTCATTCTGATGTAAAATTAACGGTCGCCTGAGGACGCTCTACGACCATTATCTTATCTGAGCTCAAAACACTGCTCGGGAGAATTTCAAGAAACTAAAAATAATAAATACATAAAATTATGAACGTGTTAATTTGTGTTTATTTTTGTTCGCAGTATTTTAATAGTATGATTATGAACATAAAAGCATTACAAAACAAATTAATAATATACCATCAATGAAACCACAAAGCTGACGTGGAGGTATGTATAATTACAATAAAGTAATTTTGAGTGTTATTGCTATTAATATTATTTACATGTAATATAAAATTATATAGCCTATGTGACGAATATGTTTTTGCAACAGCTCCAAGTCTCACGCGCAGTGTATACGTCACTGTCTGAATCCGTGCACTTATTTCGTCCACTCCTTTCTGATATAGTCCACTCTACTGCCATACACTATATAGCAGGTGTGTTTGATTAGGGTGAGAGCTAAACTCTGCAGGAAAGTGGATCTCGTGGGCCAGATTTGAGGATCCCTGCTATATAGGGATTAGTGAACGAGTGAACGAGTGAGCAATTTCGGACACAGCTACTGTTAATAAGTGATTCATTGCGATTGAACTGAATCATTCAAACGGTGGATTCATTCAGGAACGAAACACCGTCATGTTGCTCAGAGACGCAAAACAGCATTGTGGCTGTGTTTGGAATAATTTTTTGTTGGCGAAATAGAGCAAAACCAGGCAATATGGTGTCTAAAACGTAGGTCTCTTAATATTAACTTCTTGTTTATTGAACTGTTGCATAAAATCAGTATCACATTTGTAATCATACTGACTTTTGAAGGTGAAAACTGGCACTCTTCGTGTGATATTGACTAACTTTATTTCTGTGGTATTTTAATGCATAACTGTATGGGGAGTGTGTGTGTGTGTGTGTCACAGAGAGAGAATGAGACAATTAACATGAATGGCGCTTAGTCTTTCACAAAACATAGCTAACTTAAGGACATCATAACTAGCCACCATATTGATTTACGGTCTTAAATATGTCCAGTGTTTATCAGGTTGTGTGTCAGTATAATGGTCAGTGGGGAAACACAGTGTTCCATGTGTAGTTACAGTACATGGACTAAACGAAGCCTCGAGGCAAATAATTTGCATCGATGATTTTTTGTATTCGAGTTACTCGAGGATTCGTTTCAGACCTAGTTCAATCCACTTGCCAGTTAATTCAGACTCAAAACCGCAATTTGTCCAATTGATAATATGCTCATTCACCTATAAGCCTTGGAACTTGGAAGGAAGGAAAAAGCCATGAACGCACAAACTTTACAAAAGTGGGATTCGTTCACCACTAAAACCAATAAAAATGAGGCGCTCTGTGAATGGCCCATGAGCCCATGGGTCCTGTGATGCTGAGACTAGCTTATTTTTGTCATTTTACCTACCCTTATGGTGAGCAAGATTGCTGTGAAAATTGTCAGTACAGGCTTGTCTATATATTGATATGACAAATATCAGTGATGTACAAATGTTAAAATCTGTATTATAACAAAATATCTGATTGTTCACCATCCACCTACAAAATACAAGAACGTCTTTAAATTTAAAGAAAGATAAAAATGTTATGCCATTTTCAGTTGCAAGAAATGTTGACATTTTATATATGTACTTGTTTTACCATTTTATTGCCTTTACTTTGAAAAGTGCCTCTGGCTGTATATGTACAAGCATGGAAAAACTTTAACCATCATTTACTTGTGGCTCAGATAAATGTCAGTTTGCATACAGCCTTTGAAGCTTTTTATATTATGTCAGCCAGTATAGGATGTAAATGAGAACATAAAATTTGGTGCAATAAGTTTATCCTTCCTCATGTTTTGCTTTTAATTGTTTTTGCGCACATGCTGCTTTCACTTCAATCTTTCCATTATCAAAGCACTACTTTCTTGTTGCAAATTAAGCTTGAAAGCTTTCTTTGGGTAGACTCAATAAATAGCCCTCAGGTAAGAGAAGGCTGTATATTAATGCTTTCACAAAACTGTGGTGTTTATAGTGTGCTTAAAGTTCAATCTTGACTTGCTCTGTTTTGAAGGCTGCACTGTTAAAGTTAAAATCTTTACTTTTAAAATGTTTCCTCTTCATTAGCTCGGGGCCCATACCCTGCAAAACTTGTCGTGCTGAGGGTATATTTGAAGAGGCAATGTCTATGCTCAATATTGCAGTGGTAAGTGCTATCATTCTTATTTCCTGGTAACTCTTATACATTCTTAGCAAATGTACATGCACTGGTGTAATGTTTAACATTTACAGGAATACAGTTTCAAAAGGTATTCATTAATGAAGAAAATTCCATTGTCTTTGACTCCCCCATAGGCGTTTCCTGATAATGCAGCACGAAGGGAAATTGATAGCTTGCCAGCCAAATGCCAAAATGATGGATGTAGTTGGTCTGGAACACTGAAAGAGTATGAGGTAAGAACATTTTTCACCTGGCTTGTCATATCCGTCTTAAAATGTTTTACATTTCTAAATGCCAACTATTATGATGACATTTTCTTTAAACATTTAAGTCTAACCCAACTGTTAAGCAAATAAGCTGATGAAAAATATACTGTTAGTTTGAAAAAATAACATCCGCCCACGTCTGTGAGTATGAAAGTCAGCACTTAAAGATGGGGGTTGGGCGGAAAGTCCCAAGGCTGCCTGGAAAGTACCCGTGTTACCATGTACAATGTAGATGATAAGCTTTTGAAAATTGCTAGTGTAGTATTTGTCTTTTAAAACTATGTTAAAAGCATAATAACCTTTTACTAGTGGTCGACCGATATATTGGCATTTTTCAAATATCAGCATTGGCCGATAAGTTTTTCTGTTTGGCCAATGCATTTGAGGCGGGACTTTTATTTTGATCTCCCTCTTGTTTGCCGTCGTCGTTAACAGGTCTGTCTAATACGGATAGAAGTCTGTCTAATAATCCGATAGAACTGTTAAACAAAGTAATTAAAATGTATACAAAAAGTATTATAACGATTGCTTTTATGTTATTAGTAATGGAAAGGCAAACATTCTAATACTTGTTACTTGTATAATACTCGTTTGCCATCAGCATTCAGCAAATACGCATTTACATCATTTAAAGGGGTTATATGATGCGATTTCAAGTTTTCCTTTCTCTTTGGAGTGTTACAAGCTGATAGTGCATAGATAAGATCCCTGAAGTTGCAAAGACTAAAGTCTCA